TAAATATATATATAGACGCTCACATATATATATATATTTTGTTAAATGCAACACGCACCGAGAGGAGACAGACAGCCGGCGCCATGGACAGGAGCACCCATGGAAAAAGGGGGGGCGTCCACTATGAAGCCACTTCTCCCCCAGCTTTGTTTTAAATGTGAAAAACTGGGAACGATTTTAGAAAAGCAAAAAACAAAAAAAAAAAAAGAAAACAAAAATATTTATAGACTTCTTTTAGATATTTTAATAAAAGGATACTTTGGAATTTATTAACAGCTTAAGCTGCTTTGATATTAAAGATAGCTATAAAATGAAGATGATGTAGCAGTCGTGTCATTAAATGTACACTGAAGTCTTGTAGTTTGCCACTGGATGAGATTAAAAACAAAGGAAAAACCCACAGGAAAGACTGAGCAAAGCCATCGAGAAGCACTATGAGACTGACCAAATTGACTAAACTTTTGCTGAGCAGTTTCCACCTCTGTCTGTAAGACACCGCATCGCTTCTGCCCCAGCCAGAGACTGCGACATAGTCCCTGAAGACTCTAAAGCGACCCCCCTGATGCCATCGAGTATGTATTTAGTTCTGGTGGTTTATGTTTTTGGAAACCTTTGTAACACAGAATGTCCCGTGCGGTTGTATATGTTGTAGAAATGTCTGCACTAGCCTTCTGGAACAAGATGTAGCATGGTCCCAACGCTGTCCCTCGTGCTTCCTCCAGCCAGCAACCAGTGGCAGCCCCAGTACAGCATGGTGCAGCTCCTGCCAGCTCCCAAAGGAAGAGGAAAACCAATGCAAAAGCAAAGAGAGCAAACTGTGCTTGTGATTTTGGGAGTGAGAAAGGAAGAGGTACCCGGGTGTGGTGCTCAGGGGTGGCTCTGGCTCACTGGGAATGGGCATCCATTGGATTCCAGTTCCCCATGTTCTGACATCAGCCATTTGGGAAAGAAAAAGATGGGGCCTCCGAGCTTTGCCCCTGGGGGACCAGTGCTTGGGGATGAGCACCCAAAAATCAAGAGCTGCCTGCTCACAGGGGGTCAAACCCTGCTTGGGGCTGCTCCCAGCATCACAGCCAGCTCTGGTGGCTGAAGCACTTTTTATTAGGGAGAGCACCCGGGCGGGAGGAGCATCCCCTCAATGCAGTGGTATTCCCAGGCAGTGGCTGCCCATGAAGCCAGGATGAGCCCCAGTGTGTCACGCCAGGCTCCTGCCTGAATTGGGCAAGCTCAGACCTGAACCGGGCAGAACACCATCGAGCTTTGCCTTTCCAGGGCTGACCCTGTGCCACCTCCCAACCCCACCACCACCAGCTGGGCTCTGCTAACAAAATGCCTTTAAAACACCATGGGGTGGCCCATGCTGGGCTGCTGTGCTCTGTCCCCTGCCCGCATGGCATCAGCCGTCACCCAGTGTGACCACCACCATCGGGAGGGCTCCCTGCCAGGCTCTGAGGCTATGCATTGACTGATTTATACATTTTTATCAGAAGAGAAGGTATTTTTATACTTGGGTGGTGGTTGGTGAGCGACGCTGAAAGAGGCTCCGTGGGGGCACGGCTCTCCTTGCCCACCTATCCTGCCCCAGCGAGCCCCAGCTTGCCCACGGCCACTCTTCTCCCTGCCACTGCGTTGCAGAAGGTCGAGGCGCGACCAGTGACTGCTCTTCTCCATCGTGTGCTAGCAGGAGCTTTAGTGGAACGGGATTCAAGGAAGCACTTAGGATAGTCTCGGACACGGCAATCCTGTTGTATTAAAGCTGGCGGGACATACCGATCACGTTTTTGTTAGGCTCATGTACTGTACTTCAAAAGTTTCTATGAGATCGATGAACTTTGTTTAACAATTTTGGAAGGAACAAGTTCTGTAAAGAGCCACTAAATACAGAAGTTGGATACGACTCTGGCCTTGGGGTGTGTTTTGTCTGGAGGCAGTTGGGATGGGAGCTTGGTGCTTGGATTGATGTTGGAAGTCGCAGCCTTGCTTTGGGTTTGTGGCAAGAGCTCTCACAGCCATAAACATCTCCGGGTGATTGAGGGAAGAAAAGAGGGTGTGAAATGGGGCTAGTCCAGCTCAAGGTGAGATCATAGAATCCTAAACGGTATAGCTGGACCTTCAAAGGTCATCTAATCCAAACCCCCTACAATGAGCAGGGTTCTTGCCCTTTGAAAGTCCTGTGCTCGTCCCTGGTGCAGGTTTGCTCCTGCCCCTGGGGTAACTCAGCATCCTTTGGCGTGATGTTTGGCTCAGTGGCACCGCACCCTGGCACGGCTCTTCTTCAGAGCCGCCCATCGCCGGGCACATTTGCAGCTCCCAACACAAGGCAGGGGTGTTTGCACCTGATGGATTAATAAATCCATATGTTGTGTATCTGTTTGAGCTTGTTTGTCGGATAACACGTTGGGACGGATTTATTTCTAATGAATATCTGAACGTCTGGAGAAGCTGGGATGGCTGCCATGGAGACCAGAACCTTCCTTCACAGCTGACTGATGGGGCCACGTTAACCATCTGGATGCTGTGGGTACAGCTGTGCCCCACTGCCCTCGGCAGCACCGCTCCAAATGCCAAAACACATAGTGGGGTGGCCAGGAGCAGGGCTCCATGTTTTACAGTGCTCTCAGCAAGCAAGTGACCTGCCTGGCTTCGTGCCTCAGTTTCTCCAAGGGACATTGCCTTCAATGATGTTGGCAAGAAGCTGGAGATGTTCCTGCAGGTGGGTGCTGCGGGCAGGGACATGGGGTGGTGTTGGCCACTTCCATCAGGGAAGGGTCCCTGTAGCACCAACACTGTCCCCAGCAAGGGGACGGGTGTTTTGTCCCTGGCTAAGACCCCTTGGTAGATGGCTTGGGACATCCCACCAAGGGTACAGGGCCTCCTGACCAGAGGCACTCAAACCTGGTGGCATCACACTATGCTGCCTGTAACCCTGGTTTTGGAGGGATGGTTGTAACATCCCACTGAACCTGTAAAGCACCAGAAACTCACACTGGGGCACCCAGTACCATTTCCATGGGTGAAACTACAGAAGTGTTGTGCTTCCAGTCAGTCTCCCAGCTCTTGTCCAATGCCCAAACCCCCATGTTGGTCACCTGTGCCTGACTGTTCAAGCCATCACAGAGCAGCAGAACCATGCTGTCCCTGCTGTGGGACCACCGTGGCACTGGGTGTCTTGATATTCCCAGGGTGGCACCATTCCAACCCATCCATCTCATCCCATCCATCCCACTGCTGCAGGCATGTGGGGCTCCAGGGCACTGTGAGACCCTGGCGTTGGCTGTGTCCCACTTGGGTGGCACTGTCCCTGCCCAGCCCCATGGAAGGAAGGGGATTAAAGGCACAAACAAGAACTTGGGCCAGGCAGGAAGTTCTGAAACAACTTTTATTGTAGCAAAATCCTGTGCTTGTCCCACTGGGGCAAAGGGAGCCAGAGCCACCCAGCTCAAACCCAGGTGACCCCCACCTCCAGGCCAGCAGCTTTAGTGTCAGTCTAAACCACTGGGAAAAGAGCACCACCAGTGGCACGAGACACTGGCTTCACTCCAGTTTGGCACATGAATCACTCGACAGGCTCCGTGCTGACACACATGTTCCCATTACCACCATGAGTGATGCTTCCCCTTAGGAAGCCAGCTCAGGGATGATGCCCTGCCCCAAAATAATCACCCAGCACAGCAGTGCCTGCAGCCACTGGGTTCCCTTGGGTCTGCCCCCACCATGGGTTCACCCATCAGGCTGCAAGCAGCGATTGCCCCATGTAGGACACCCCGGGCCGGGTGTCACCAGCTCCCCGGGGAAGCTGCTGCCATTACGGAAGGGCTGCGCTCACTGATATTTTCATTTTCAGACCACATCCTGCTGGAGCAGAGGGATCCGGCGGAGCTCAGCGCAGGGAGGGGAAGGCGGTAGCAGGGTCCCTGGCTGTGAAATGCCCACACGCAGGCTCAGGCCAGTGAGATCCCATCCAAATCCTTCTCTAAAAGCATTGTCAGTGCAATGATACCGCTGCAGGAGCATCAAGAGGGCCCACCAGATCCAGTGCAATGGTTAAGTCCCAACAGGCATCAACCAGCAAGTGGTTTGTTGCTTGCTTGCCAGGCATGACCGGAGGGGTGCATCCATGCAGGGAGCATCTGCTGCCTTGGCATGAGATACCCACGATCCTGTCAGCTCCCAAAGCCCAGGGGCTTCATGCCTGGCTGTTGGCCACTAATGCTGGGTTGGTATTTCACTGAGCACCAGTGTCCCTCAGCGCTGAGCCCTTGGTGGCACCATCAGTAAGTGTCCATCACCACCACAGACAGTGCTGCACATCCCAGGGTGAGGAGGGGGCTGATGCAGCACCAACAGTGTACCCACGATCCTGTCAGCTCCCAAAGCCCAGGGGCTTCATGCCTGGCTGTTGGCCACTAATGCTGGGTTGGTATTTCACTGAGCACCAGTGTCCCTCAGCGCTGAGCCCTTGGTGGCACCATCAGTAAGTGTCCATCACCACCACAGACAGTGCTGCACATCCCAGGGTGAGGAGGGGGCTGATGCAGCACCAACAGTGATCATCTCCCTGTCACGGGTCCTGGCGGGTCCCC